TGGAGTCGTCCGGTGGTGCCGCTAGACCCTTTAGCGAGGTTTGACTTCATGCTGCGGAATCTCGTTCGACAGTTGCAGAGCTGGTCAGCGACAAGAATCGGCGAGATCAGAGCACAGCTGCTCATGGCTCGAGAGCTGGTGCTACGGTTGGACACTGCCCAGGAACACCGCCAACTCACCGACGCCGAAAACGCACTCCAGAAGAGGCTGAAGATGAGATGCCTAGGGTTGTCATCGTTGTAAAGGACCATGGCCAGGCAACGTTCTAGGGTACGGCAGCTCAGCGACGGTGACACCAACATAGCTTACTTCCACCTCATCGCCAGGGGTAGGAACCGAAGGAATTACATCCCAGCCCTTGCCGTCAATGGCCACCTCATCACCGATCACAGCGACATGGAGCTGGCACTGCATTCACACTTTGCAGGGGTGTTCGGCACTGTACCAAGGGGGGCATGCTCCCTAAGCTTCAACGCTCTCGGCTTTCCAGCAGCTAAACCTAGGGGACCTGAACGCTCCCTTCACCGACGATGAGGTGTGGGCTGCAATAAAACAAATGCCCAGTGACAGAGCGCCCGGGCCAGACGGATTCACCGGGGCTTTCTACAAGTCGGCCTGGCCGCTCATCCGGCAAGAACTCATGGAGGCACTGCAGGCATTCGAGCAGGGGAACATCAGGAGCTTGGATCGACTGAACAATGCTCTGATTGCACTGCTACCGAAGAAGGTCGAAACCGCATGCCCATCTGACTTTAGACCAATCACTATGATTCATAGCTTTGGGAAGCTCATATCCAAAATCCTATCGCTACGGCTCGCGCCTTGGCTGGTAGACATGGTGACCAGGAGCCAAAATGCATTCATTAGGACCCGCTCCATCCATGACAACTACAAGTATGTCCAACGCGTGGCGGTGCTAATCAGGAAAAAGAAAATTCCAATGCTGTTGTTGAGGCTGGACATTTCCAAGGCATTCGACACCCTGTCCTGGCCATTCATGGTGGAAGTACTCCAAGCTCATGGCTTTAGTGACAAATGGTGCGCCTGGATTGAAGCACTACTCAGCTCGGCTACGTCGAGGATTTTACTGAATGGCAACCAAGGACCACCCATCAGGCATTTGCGGGGGGTACACCAGGGGGACTCATTGTCGCCAATGCTATTCATAATATCAATGGACGTGCTGCACAGGTTGTTCCACAAGGCATCACAGGACGGCATCTTGAGAAGATTACCGCTACCGGAGATCAAGTTCCAATGCAGCCTATACACCGACGACGCCATCCTCTTCATTCGGCCAACAGTCCAGGAGGCCAATGCAGTCAAAGAGATACTTAGCATCTTTGGCCAATCTTTAGGGCTGCACACTAACCTAGCTAAATGCTCGGTCACAGCCATCTATGGAGGCGAGGACTTCCCCATCAAGTACTTGGGGTTACCGCTAAGCACAAAAGCAACCCCGAAGGCTCACTACCAGTCCCTGGTCGAGACCATCGCGACCAAGCTACCACCCAGCCACGGCACGCTTATGGCGAGGAGCGAAAGACTGGTCTGGGTGAAGTCCGTCCTTCGAGCAGTACCCATCTACGCCATGATGGCTGAAAACCTGCCTCCTTGGGCCCGGAAGGAGCTAGATGCAATCTGCAGACGATTCTTCTGGGCGGGATTAGGCCAGTCGATCCGAGGCAAATGCATGGTCGCCTGGCAAACCTGCTGCAGACCGACACAGATGGGAGGGTTGGGGATCAATGACCTCAAGCTCACTGGGTACGCGCTCCAGACTCGATGGCTTTGGCTTCAGAAAACGGACCAAGATCGGGCGTGGAGCCAACTGCCGATCCAAACAGCCAAAGAGGTCCAAGCCTTCTTTAAAGCCTCAACTTACACACGGCTGGGGGATGGACGCCGAGCCTTGTTCTGGGAGGACAGGTGGATCGATGGGCAAGATGTGGCAACCATAGCACCTTACCTCCATCTAAGGGTTCCCCAGCGTGTCCGACGAAAGCAAACTGTCCGGGAAGGACTACAGGGCAGAGCCTGGGTACGTTGCATCTCTGGCGGCCTCTCGGTTCATGAGCTCACGGACTACCTCCATCTGTGGGCAACCGTCAATGACTGCCAGCTCATCGACCAGCCGGACCAGACGATATGGCGCTGGACGGCAAAATGATGCACACCGGCTCCATTGCGATGACCGGCCACAGGTTAATCTGAAAAACCTGGGCACCCCTTCGTGTGAACATCTTCCTTTGGCTCGCAGTGAAACGGAGGCACTGGACAGGTGACCGGAGGGCCAGACACGACCTCGAAGCAAGGGAGTTGTGCTATCTTTGCGACTAGGGACAGGAAACGATTGATCACATCATCGCCACATGTCCATTCTCGAAGGGAGGTATGGTTCTATGTCCTGCAAGCGCTTCGGCGGCCACTACCGGCGGCCTCAGCAAAGTCGTTAGCCTGGTGGCGCAGCCTAAGGTCCCTGTTCAATGGTGACCGACAAACCGGCATGGACACTCTCTTCGCCCTCGTCTCTTGGCAGCTGTGGAAGGAGAGGAACGCAAGATGCTTCCGGGAATCGACGTCCACGGTCACTGAGCTGCTGCAAGTCATCAAGGCGGAAGCAGACCGATGGATACAGGCGGGGGCGTCCGGGCTGAGTGCATTGGCGCAAGGCTAACGGCCTCCTGCATCGCGCCGGTCAAGGATGTAATGTTCAAAATGTAGTATGTAACAAAACACTAACGTCGGGAGCGACACTCTTGTAATTTGAAACTATTTTCCTTCTAATACAATGATACACACACTCGTGCGTATTCGAGAAAAAAATAAGAAAGTTTTTGTTATTGTTCCTTTCCGACCCACAGCGTGAAGTGCTCACTGCCGACATGGCTGATATGGCAAGGCAAGTCAAACCGGTGGGCCACTTAAACACTTTATTTATCGATACTACTATAATTTTAGAAAGGATGTAATTCTAGGTTTAATTGGAGTCGAGTTTGATAGGGCTCTGGGTTCTCCTATAAACGGTCTAGTTCTGAATTCTCCTTGAAACATTTCTTTGAAAACGTTTGGTAGGGATTATAGATTCAGATTCTTTGAAAGAAAATGAGATGGAGATGAATCAGAAATTCTAATTAAGAAACAAGCGAAACACCCTTTCTTGGTGGAACATTTTAACGTGTTTAACGTGGATTTTGGAGTTCGATGGAGAAACATTTCACGTTTTAGCATGTTTGGCAGGGATTATGGAGATCCAAATGAGAATCCAAAACATTTATGGAGAATCGCAAACATTTGTGCATCCAAAGGCATCCTAGTTTATGGAAAATCAATATTTAAGATTCCAAATAGGTATATTATGAAAAATATACTCCCTCGGTTTCCATTTTATCTGGCGCAAGTTAGAATGACACGGTCTTCTAGATTACACTTCGATAATTTATTTGCTTTATATTATATTATTTATGCTTATAAACTTATAATCATTGGATAGTATAATTTCTTACAAATCTAGTCATATAAAGTTTGTATTATATAATAGTTAAAAATAGTAGTCTAATTATTGGAAGAAGTTAGTACACGACGGGACATCGATCGAGTTCTTGTGATTCCATACAAACCAGGGTGGAACAATTCAATTCTCGTACGAGATATAAGGGTAAGAATTTTTTATATACAAACAAAAACAATCAATTTTCAGTGGGAATAATAAGAAAGTTTTGTTCTTGTTCCTTTCCGAGACCCAGAGCGTGAAGTGCTCACTGCCGACATGGCGACGTGGCACCAAGGCAAGGCAAACCGGTGGACCACTCAAACATTTTGTTTATCCATACTATTTTCATTTAGAAAGGATGTAATTCTAGGTTTAATTGGAGTCAAGTTTAATAGGGCTCTAGATTCTCCAATAAACGTTCGTGTTTCTGAATTCTCCTTACAAACGTTTCTATGGTGATTCTCGATCTGATCACATTCATTGAAAACGTTTGGTGGGGATTATGGAGATGAATCGGAATTTCTAATTCAGAAACAAACGGAATACCCTTTTGGGCGATTCTCTTTGTAGTGTAAAAAATGAGAATCATCCATTCTCTCTTGTATTGTAAAAAATGATAATCATTCCAAGTGATTCTTGGTGGAACGTTTTAGCGTGGATTTTGGAGATCCATGGTGAAACATTTCACGTTTTAGCATGTTTGGCAAGGATTCTGGAGATCCAAATGAGAATCCAAAACGTTTGTAGAGAGTCGAATACATTTGTGCATCCAATGGCATCCTAGTTTATGGAAAATCAATATTTAAGACTCCAAATAGGTATATTATGAAAAATATATTCCACGATAAATTTAATAATATTTTTTTTCAATATGATAAGCATTAATAAATTTTATATAAATTTTATTCAAACTTAAAGATAGTTTGACAGAGCATAATTATAGAATTGCTTTTAAAATTGCAATTTTCTAGGACGGAGGAACCACACGAGAAACTGAACGAGACTACGGCAATCATCTTCATTGAACTGCAGCAGCACCCGATGGTTTGCATGCAAGAAAAAAAGACCCAGTGATTATCATTTCAGAGCATAATCAGAGTACAATTACAGCTGCACAACACATTGGGGCCACTGACACAGTTCCAGCAATGTTAAGCTGTCAACAATGAGGATTTCATCTGAGATGTCATATCGCCGTTAGGTGATTGCTCCACCAGTCCAATAGTAAAGCACATATTCAAGAAGATCAAAATAAAGACAACTGCCCTATAAAGCATGCTAAAGCGGTCAAAATGTTCATGTACATAGAAGGCAGTTCAGTAGCAGGAGACACAGCACAAAACCATAACTTATATCCATATAATATTTCCAGTACACTGCACTAGCACTACAAAGCAAGTAAATTGTCTGACTGTATGCTCTAGTTCATCTCGATTAAAAGAAAGAACTACAAGAACACAACCCACCTCTCATCCGATATTCTGATACCACATCAAAACTTCTTTGTTTAGTCGAAAAAACCTGGTACTTCCCCTGGCATCGGAGCAAGTTCGTTTCTCCCAAACCTTTCCTCGTCAAAGAAGGTTGCCTGCACCACACGCCCGCCAAAGAACCGCCCTTGCAGATCAACCATTGCCTTTGTTGCTTCTTCTGCCCGCTCAAACTGTATGAATATCCTTACAGCCTCATCAACTGGGAAGTCTGCCTGTGTGATCTCAAATATCAGCACCCGAGACACCGTCCCATACTTGGCACACTCCGATGCCACCTCATCTTCCAGCTCGTCGTCAACCTCACCAGGACCAACCTGCACATGTTTCACAATCATGCATAAGAACTGTTTACAGAATTGTTTAAGTGATGTGTTTCCTTCTTGCTGAACAATTCAATAGTAAGTGAAAATGAATAGTAATTCTGAATTCAACGAATCATCGCTCCGCTCCTAAAAATTGCTCAGGATCGAAGGTCTCACACAGTTAAAACAGACACAATTCAGCAAGATAACTTCGCGATGTCAGACTTCTTTAAAGGTCATACCAAGATACAAATATCTTTTTCTTTGGCATGAAGATAGAAATTTCTTGATCATTAACAATCGAATACTTATTATCCGATAAATCAATTTGTTTACCATGATACTGCACGAGTATTTGTAATGGAGTCATACTCATTCCAGGATCAGCTTCGATCACATAAATGAGATTTCATGACCATTGCATACCATCTAAATTCAAATACACTAATCAGCTAAGAGTATTGCAGTGCTATAGTCAAAATCCAATACAAAGCTCACTAACCATAAACTTTCTTCCGGTGGAATTTGAGCTCAGATTATGTTTGAAATTTTAAAAAAGTTTAACAAGAACCCCAATTAATTATCCGGTGCAAAGAAAAAAAGATTGTGAAACCATCTAGAACCTTACAGAAACTTAGCATTTCTAAACACATATTAACGAAAAGCACACATAAGCCTGAGTGCTACATTGCTACTCCTGTATGTATTTATAAGCTAAGGGACAAGGCTAGTATGAAGTATTGTAGTTCAGACAAATTTAACTAGTTTGTTTAAACCAAGTTCAGAATGCAAAGATACCAACTTACAATATTGATACATTCAATTATTTCCGAGGATGAAGGCAAGGTAAGGGCTAATCATACACTACAGGCTAGTTAACTGTGGCACTACAAGCAAACAGTTGCAAAGGTGACGGATAAATTGAATAGACAAGCACACAATCTGCAAGTCATTGACTGATTAAACTTGGAATGAAACCTATATTGGAATGAAACCTATACTGGAATTGAAGCTTCTATGCATCATGATAATCTTCATACAAAAACAACTTAAGCATTAATAAACAAGTCTATATTGGAATTGATGCAACAATGACATTTACCATGTTGCGGAGCAGCAAAACTCGTGTCGGTTGCCCATCAAAGTTGACAGATCTCGGCTTCTTTTCTGGAGGCCTGGAACTGCTCTCATCAACAATAACTCCTCCCCTCCTATCAGTCTTCTTGGCCACCAGAGGCGCGGTGATCCCCTGCTCTTGCTTGCCAAGCCCCTGACCTTCCTTCCACCCCATCTTGGCCATCATCCGCTGGGCAGCAGTCATCTGCCCGCCGGCGCCCACACCCAACCCAGCAGAAGATGAGCTCCCAATGGCGAAGCCATCCCCGTGAGGTGGGGACGAGGGGGTTCTAGCAGCAGCACCGCCACCGCTCATCGCTGCCCTCCTCTTCCACGCCTCCTCGCCGGATATGTTGAGGAGGAGGCCCTGGACTGGTAGTCCTTCTCCTCGCGCTCGCGGGCCTCCCTCTCCCGCTGCTCGCGTTCCCTCTCCCGCTCTTGCTCCTCGCGCCGCCGCCTCTCAAGCTCCTTGTTCAGCTCAGCCTCCTTGGCGCGCCGGAGCTTGTCCTTACGGTAGTCCTCGTAGTCGTTGGGCCTGGCAGGGTCGTACTCCTCCAGCACGGTGGACTGGACGGCGACGAACGCGGGCTGGAAGGAGGTGGCCGGGGCGGGTTCGGCGGCAACGACGGGGGGAGCGGGGGCGGAGGTGGAGGCGGCTTTGGGCGGGCGCAGGTGCTGGTTCCGGAGAATAGATGGGGGTGGGGCGAAGGTGGTGGACGGCTTGCGGAGGGTGGGAGGCGCCATCTTGGTGGCGCTGGACCAAACGGAGGCCGTGGAGGCCTTGTCCTCGTCGCCGGCCGACGACGGCGGCGGGAGGTCGCCGTACAGGCCGCCGAGCATCTTGCCCAACCTAGGGTTTGGCTGCTTGAGTGGGGAGAGATGCGATTTGGGGAAAAAGACGGAGTGCTCAAGAAGACGAGGGGCCCGATTTGGTTCGGGCCAGAGGTCGGGCCAAAATTCCGTTTGGCTGCGTGGATCGATTCCGATTCTTCCTAGAATCACAGGAAACGCCACCAAACGTTTCACGACCCCTGCCTTGCTCCTGAATCGGCCGGAGAGTAGTTTCGCAATGTTTCGCTTCCGTTTCTTTTTCTTTCATATATACATGCTATCAATTTTATTTTTTATTTCATTATAATCCCTTTTTAGCGCAACAAAATAAAATGAGTTATATTCAAGTTGTTTTTCACATATATAATATAGATTTTAGGAAACATATTTTTATTTGTACATTTTTTAAGAAGATTTTTTTTCCTTATATCCGAATCTAGTCTAATAGCCAAAGAGTTTTAAGTGATCCTGATTTGTCTCCCGAAACATTGTTGAGAGAATCCAAAATTAAATCGTTTCTACGAGAATCTGAATTCCTACAAAGACGCGTGTGTGCTAGAACTAGTAAGCGGCTCGTTACATTTTTTTTTACTCAAATAGAGGGACACGTGCGGAGGTTTCTATTTTGGTCACGTTTATTGTTTGTCGACTGATGGTTTTTGCGGCTGATAAGCCGGCTGATGCTGTTTTGTCGTGAGAAAACCATAGTTGATAAGCTGATACCATAACTAATAAGCTGAGCTAATAAGTTCAAGCGAACATGTTAGTGCGTCTCTTGCTCTCCTTTGAGGCGGAGGCAGAAGGCCACTAGAAATCATCGTAATGCAGATCCGCCACCAAACTCGATTCGCCCGGCTGTCTTGTAGCGAGCGTGCAGAGGATGGACGGTCATGTTTGTCTACTTCGAGGTGGAGGTGAAAGGCTCCAGCGAATCGTCATCTTCCAAGCGTATCTCGCCGCTCAAACTCGCTGCTGTTAGGAACATCTCCCATATTAAGCAATTACTTGGCTAAGTAGTCTTCCACTGACTATCATTAACCAAGTAATTCACCTAAATGGTCATCCTGGTAGACCACCCATATGATGTAGAAAGGAAATCATCACAACCTTACAGAGAGGTTCACATCACATTAAAGGTAGTTAAGTTAAAAGGCTTTAAGCAAAATAAGAACAATGTGCGGGTGTGTCGCTCGCCACACATTTACACAGGGAATATACAGTTCATCCATATATGTGCCACTTGCAAATAAGCTCCGATGTTCAGCTTGCAGCAAGAGGAAGCATGAGTCACTCGCAACGAGTGACACAGTAGGGAAAGAGGAAGCATGAGTCGCTCGCTACAAGTAACACTTGGTGAATATATAGTTCATCCATATATGTGCCATTTGCAAAAAAAAGAAAGAAAGAAAGAAAGCTCTCGGTACCAATCAAATACGTATTGGCTGAGTAGCTAGACAATGGGCTGAAAGTTGAAAACTGTGCCAAAAACCATGACTCCTAGTGTCCTTATTAAAAACGGTAATTCTCCCCCCACCTCACTCAGAAATAGAAAAAATGAATCCCCACTCGCTCATCTTTATCCGCCCGACGCAGCAGGGTGACCGCTCATTCATTCACGCCTCTCCCCCACCATGCACTCGTCGGCTACCGCGCCGTGCCCTTCCCCCCATCGCCCCGTGCCCCATCGCCGTCGCGCGCGGCGCGCCCGTCCCAGTCACTTGTGCCGCTCGCTCCTCGCCGTCCGTCCGTCCATTTCCCATCACCGGCCCGTCCTTCCCCTATGTTGCATATGCATGTTTTAAGTATTTCAGTCGTTTCAGATGTATGTTGCAATTGTTTCATCTTTGATGTTGCAAAAGTAGATTAGAGGATGTAGCACATGTTGCATACGTTGCAAGAGTTTTAGAGACATGTTGCAAGCGTTTGTTCTAAATGTTTCATCTGTTTCTAGACGTATGTTGCAACCGTTTTTGATTTGGATGTTGTATATGTTGTAACATAATGTTCTAAATGTTTCAACTATTTTAGTCTGATGTTGCAGCCAATGTTTTCATGTTGCAAGTTGTAAGTGTTTTATTGGATGTTTCATGTATTTTACACATATGTTGCAAGAGCATGTTCCAAATGTCCCATATGTTTTCAGTCTTATGATGCATTCATGTTGCAAGTGTTTTATGTTGTTCGCTTGGGGGCGAACCAGGGGCCGGCGGACGGGAGTGCTGTGTGCCAGTGGACGGGGTGCGCTAGGGACGTGCTCGTCCTCAGCCGCTTATCCTGGCCCCTATGTGTCGTCCGCGCAGAGTGTCAGAGAGACAGGAGGGGGGCCGGGGAAGGACCTACAGGCGTAGAGACAGGGGCAGAGCGCACTCGTGGGTCGGGGCGAAGACAGACGGGGGTAGGCTGTGCGGGCGTCTAGATGCACGCGTCCGTCCGGACGTCCGGGCGCTAGCCACGCCCAATTCTTGGTACAGGGCGTCCATCCGTGACTCCCGTCCAGACATGGGCACACGGCTTCATAGGAGCAAGCCCCATCTCTCTCAAAAACAAAAAATTAATCCCCACTCACTCATATTTATCTGCTGAGAGCCTTTGTGGGTGTGCATGAGAGGTCAAAGATCCACCTCTCCCGTCTTCTCCCTCTCTAAGCTTAGTGCTAATTTGAGTGCGGGATTGAGGACCTAGTGTGTGCATTCAGGATTTGCATTTGGTGGCACTAGAAAATCTTTGTGATTGGGGATTTCTTGTTACTCTTGGTGATTGTCATCACCTAGACGGCTTGGAGGTTGTGGTCTCCGTCGAAGCACACAAAGAAGATTGTGCGGTGCTCCGGAGAAGTAATTGTGAGGGGCATTGTGCTCGCCCCGCGGGAGTCGTGAAGAGCAACTCTAGTAGAGCGTGTCATTGAGCTACCCTCACTTTTTGGGTAGGTTCTTGTGGCGCCCAATGTGTGGGCTAGGTTTGTGAAACACCTATAGGGGACCGAGACGCCTAAGAGGGGGGTGAATTAGGCAACTTAAAATTCTACTTTTAAAATATGGCCTCTTTTTCTAACCTTAGCAAAACCTATGCAAAAGATAAACTATCTAAATGTGCAACTATGGTATTGCTAATGTGTTGCTATCTCTACTACAAAAGGAGTAATCCAAACAATCTAAATGCGGAAGCAAAAGAACAAGATAGAGATATGCAAACTCCCGTCGACGACTCCGGTATTTTTACCGAGGTATCAAGAAGCCCGCAAGCTTCTCCCTAGTCCTCGTTGGAGCCCCTCGCAAGGGCCAAGCTTCCGATCGGGTAACTCTGTGGATAGCCTCGGGCCTTCCCCACGAGCAAGTGGGTCTCCGACGTGCCTTCCAGCAAGCCTCTCTCGGATGCTCCCCGCCGTCTTCACTATCAAGCTTCCGGCCGAAACGCCGCGGGCCTTGTTCCCTCCGGTACACGGTGGCGCCCACACCACAAACACGGTCGGTGTGATCTCGCAAGACTACAAGCCCCTCCAATGTACAACAATGGTGCGCACAAGCATCGAGTGGTAAGAGGTATGCAAACCTCACTAAACACTAGGCCAAAACCTAGAGCAAGCACATAAGCGGTGGTCTAATCAACCTAAGCACTTCGCAAAGCACCTAAGCTAATCACCTAATGAATCACTAAACACTATGCAAGTGGAGATCACTAAAATTGTGTACAAGCACCCTTGGTATGTTTCCTCAGCTCCACACACTTCATTTGGCCGCTTGGGGGTGTATTTATAAGCCCCACTGAGAAAGTAGTCGTTTGGGACAAAATCCCGCTTTCCTGCTACTGACCGAGCGCTGATCACGTCCTGACCAGATGCGTCCGGTCGTCCCAACCGTTAGAGCCACGATCAACTGATCGGACGCTGCCAGCATCCGGTCGCAATTTTGCCGCTCTAGAGCCTTTCTGTACTTGATCGGACGCTGCAGTCCTGCATTCGGTCGATTTGCCACTAGCATCCGGTCACTGCTGCTGACGCCTTCTGTTGTCGAGCCTATTGATCGGAGCGTCCGGTTACCTTTGTGAGCTCGTTTCTTCGTGATCTTGCGTCCAGCTTGGTTCCTATCTTCGTGTTTGGACTTTGCTTGATATCTTGGGTCTTCTCTTGTGCTTCTAAGGTCTTGCTTATGGTTTTGATCATCGGATCATCATGTGGCCTTCGTCCAAGTCACGTGTTGCACCCTATTGAACTACAAAACAATCACTTGCAAATTTATTAGTCCAATTTGGTTGTGTTGGTCATCAAACACCAAAATCCAAAGTGAATGGGCCTAGGGTCAATTTTCCTTACAATCTTCCCCTTTTTGGTGATTGATGTCAACACGACCAAAACAAGCAAATAATAAAAATTTGGAATTTAAAAACTATCTACTTGCTAGGATGCAATGCAAGGGCAAGGTTATATGATGCTAAAAGATACTACTTGTAAGACTAGAAGATACCACTTGAGAACTTATCTTGCCCTTACAAAAATCCCCATCTGGTATTATGGATTTAAGCCACAAATTCTCCCCATTACATAAGCTAATCCATAATCCACTATCCTCCCTTTCTTAGACCATTACCACTTGTAGATCATTACTACTTGTAAATTATTATGATCTAACTTTTGGTCCTACAAATTAAATGATTTCTTTTGGTCCTCTAAATTCTCCCCTTTTGGAATCAAACACCGAAAAGGAAGACAATAGTAGCACAAGGGAGGGTCAAACTTTGTGATCCTTTGTATGTGGAGTGGAATAGGTCACAAAATTTTGACTCTCACATTATATAGACTAAGCCCCCCTAAATATATGCATACATATGGTAGAAGGCAAATCACATGCATAATTGGTGAATTATTGCTCAAGGGAATTTAATCTATATAATGCATGGAGAAAGCATATAAAATATTAAAGTGAAATCAACATGATGATATCGGTTTAGAAATACCACATGTGAAAATCAATTTGATTTCTACCACTTGCAATTGATGGTGGATATTTGAAGTA